AGTTTGAACAAATAGCATCTCAGTGGCCGCCCAGTCTAAGGCATGAACCGTTTTCGCCCGCTAGAAAACTGGGATCGTTAGTTCAAGTCCCACTCGAGACCCTGGTATCTGTGTCTGTGCTTGGTCTGTGTGTAAGTAGCAGCCTTACGACGGACTGGTCTCCCCGCCGGATGTCGAACCTCGGCCGTCCAGTCTGCCACTATACCGGCTCAGCTATCGAGGCTCCTATTACATCGTTATTGACTTGTATAGTTTCGTACACTGCAATTAATTTCGGTGTCCATTTAGTTGCATCGGTATGATCATGATAATTTAAAATGGTTGCTTGTTTATGGAGATTATTTCGAGGTGATAAACCTATATGAGTTTTCTGGTTCCAAATATACGTTTAGCACCCAAAGTGTTCACATTCGACCTGGAGGAAATGGTTTTCTTTGTAATTTTCTATGCTTCTCATAAAAAGGACGGCAAAACCCCATTGGGAAGCTAGAATTGTGTATCTCTGCAGTAACTAGCGTCCTTTTTCGGAATCCACCTGAAGCGACTGACGAAAAGTACGAAAACGTTAGTCAAGAGAGCTAATTTTCCGGTCGAGATACTAGTCGGGGATTTCTCGAATATGGTGCAGACTTACGCATTTCTACATTTGTGTGGTTCGGTCCATTTGTAAGGGAGTTCCTGTCCTTCCTGTTTAAGGAATGTTAGTATTTCTATGCTCATTGCTTGCTTTAAGCATCCCATGTTCACTCCTATATTGTGCGTAATTTAGTTAGGGGCCCCGTTTGGCAACAAAATTCATAATGCATTCTTCTTTAACAGAATTTCTTTTATTAACACGACATCTGCTATTTTGAATATAAGAAGGATGTCATAATTATTTTCTTCAAGTCCCTACTCGATCAATTCCATGCAGGCCTATCGAAGGTCAGACATATGGAGATTGTGTTAAAATGTAAAGTTTACTGAAACCTTCATACGCCACTGAAATAAGAGTACAAAATTCTCTTAGCTTCTACCAATTCAACTTAAGCGTGTTTGCATCATTCAACCCAAAAGGAAGCAGGCTAATATGCTGAATGATTAAAGAGGCTTGGTACATCCCAGAGAATACTTCCAACATGTCTGAAAATAAACCCGGTCTGTAGGTTATAACTGCTAATTTTGTTCACTGAGATACCCAGACTTATGAAAGAGAGATAGGATTATAAAATTGTTAATGTTTTAGCCTGAATATTTGTTAACTTACAGTTCGCGAGGTGTGAAATCAGAGTATATTGTTGCGTCACTACTTGCCACTCAATTCAGTCATCTCCTCCTTGAACCTACTGCCGTAATTTGACGAGTCTGAGATGTAGGCGTAGTGGGTTATAGCGGGAATTTTAACAGCTGTAAAACGAACCCAGATTTCTTTCCTCCTACATTTATTGTATGTGATCTGCAGAGTCTGCTCTGAATATGTGGGTTCAGTAATTACAAGCTAGTGAATGAGTTATGCCCAGTGGCATGAATCATATAATCTTTTTTTCACTTAGGTATCATTTTAGAGTTTTGCTAAGGTTTGTCTGGTAGAGTCATGACGGTGAATAGTTTCAGCCTATGTGCAGTTTCGCTATTCTCAAGTAGGTTCACTGCTAGTGCATTTGTGTGGTTTTCTAATGTTTTAAGTATTTGGTATTCCACTTTTATATTTCACTGAGCCCTGTTTTCATCTGTAGATCTTCATGGATCCTGTGGTTGTTTCTGTACCAAGGTGCGTTCAGAATGGATAGGAGAGTCTTGGATTGGAAGCGCTGAAGGATTTCGATGTTGGAATTAGAGGCTGTCCCCATAGCTGTATTCAGTACGTTCATATGAGTTTGAGTACTGCTTTGTATAGGAGTTTGCTTTCTGTTGATACTGTTGATCTTTTCCCGAGTAGCCAGTGCATTTGTTTCGCTTTTAGGTTGAACTGTTTTCTTTTGGTTTTGATGTGCTTTGCCCGTGTCAGTTTTCTATCGAGATGCATGCCCAAGTATTTCACTTCACTTTTCTGGGGTAGATCAACATTCCCCTTTTGCACTTAAGGTCAGGTTTGATTGCGTCGGGTGAATGTACGAGTATTAGGCGAGGGTTTGCTTTGATGTATTTTAATTCTCCATTTCTTCGCCCAATCATCCATCTAATTGATGGTGAATTGGAGTTTCACTGAGGCTGTCGCTGGAACTTCAAGTGTGGCTAAGACTGCTATAACATCGTAGCAGTTGTTGTGCTGTCTGATGTCTGAAGGTCGTTTGTGTAGATAAGCTATAGGACGGGTCCTAAAATACTTCCTTGGGGTACTCCTGTTTCAATTTTCCTCAAGGTTATGATTTCCTGTTTGAATTTTACTTGAAAGGGTCTCTCTGTTAGATATGATACTAATATTCTGTAATATGCATGGGGAAGGATTTTTCTGATTTCGAACAAGACGCCTGGATGCCATACTTTATCGAAAGCTTGTTTGATGTCTAGCAACGCCGCAGAACAGTACTGTTTTTTTCTAAAGTTCCCCTTCTTATTTCTATAATTCGGTATACGTGTACGTACTTGTAAGACAGTAGAGTGTTTCTGTCGAAATCCGTACTGATGATCCGGGAGGGTTCGATTTTCTTCTAGTATGGCGTGATCTCTTGAGCATAGCTTTCTCCAAGATTTTGCTCATTGTCGTGAGTAGACTGATCGGCCTGCATGAGCTGGCTTTTTCTAGCGTTTACCAGGTTTCGGGATCATTATGATCTACGCGACTTTTCCACTGAACTGAAAGACATCCTTTTCTATTAATTGAGTTAGATAGACAATGCCGCAGTGCCGACTCATCTGCCATCTTCTAAGTTTTGTCTTCCTTTGACATGGTCCTTGACTTCCCATGTACATTCCAGGTTTGCCGTCTGGTGTTGAGCTCCAAGCTGCCTTTTGTATGACGTTATTGAGTTTTGCAATAGCCTCTTCGATGTCTTTCGCTGGTTTGAGCTGGATGCTGAGTCGTAAATTTTCTGCGATTTGAGTTGTGAATGCTTCCCAGTTTGTGTGGCTGTTGTACAGTTTTGGTGGTTTAAAATATGTGTATTGACTGTGGCGATTATTGGTGTGATCTGATTGGGTCTTATGGCGAAGGAATTGTGCGATAGCCCTTTAAAGATAAAGACGTCTAGTAGATCTGGAGTTTTGTTGATATCTTTTAGCCAATAAGTTGGTTCGCCAGTGGATAATGTTTCTAGTTACTTTCTTGTATGGTTTGGTACATTTCGCACGTTCAGGATTGATTGAGCGGGATCACCAGTACTGGTGCTTCGCAATGAAATCACCTCTAAGCAGAAAGTTGTGTCCTGGTGAGTTAATTGTTCCTTGTTAATTGCGTGGCGTAGGTGGCAGAGATGGTCAAATTTCCACAAAAGTTTAAGAACATGTACTGCAATACGATCTGTGCAACAGTAGTTCCCTAGCATGTTGTTGTTGTTGTTGTTGCCTTCTGAAGATGGCCACAACTGACCGAAACATTTAGTCACTTTATAAATATATACTTAGTCACACTGGACGGTGTTGTCATATTAATTTTATAATAATTTACTAGTGTGAGGGACCAGAATGAATAAATTTAGACTTACTATAGAACGTCCCTGGCCTTTTCATTGCACCAGAATTTCAGAACAGGTAATCTTTGTCATTAAGAATCTAACAGCCACACTTCTCGAAGTAAAATATTGCAGACTGCAAAATCTTGTGTCGCCTAGTATAAAGGTTTTATTACGTAAATCTTTACTGAAATTCGTAAGCAAAATTTTCCCAGGACGAACATTAGGAGAGATGGAACAGTACCGTGGACGTCACGATTTCCCAGTCGTCACATAGCTCAACTTTGTCTTCTTGAGTTAAATGAATAACTATATGTAGCAGACACGTTTTCCGGATATTGCCCCTACCCCCACCGTAGTCGAATAAGTTGAGTCATAAGCACTGTGACACCAGATAGGTTGCAGCGTGCATAGACGCAAATGTATTGTCTCGATGTGTTATGGGTACCAGAGGGGATCATAGTAACATGAAATCTTCATGAATATAGGTACGTTACAGACAACCCCATTATTTTGTCGTCACTGTTTTCGTCTCCTACTAAGTCCTGAAGCGGGAAACGCAATTTATGATGGCTTTATACAAGCTGTATATCTTCAGACACCGTACTGTTATATTTTAGAAAATGATGCTATTCTAGACGGTTTAAAAGTGTCGGTGTTTTGATGATTTATATTGCTGTATTTCAGGTAGCAAACTGATAACTTAGGTGAATTGACGTTCATGTATTGAAACATGACAATAAATGTAAATTTAGCAAAGTTCTTCGTGATAATAAATGATACAAACTCCGTCCTAAGTGCAAACAATATATATTTATATGTCTTTGATCTTGTTCTTTCTACACTACATGTTTCGGCCTCTATCGGCCATCATCAGGTGTATACTCTTAACGTCGCTGCCACACTGAACCCAGTCTAAAACTTAACATTTAAAATACTGAATAGAATACTGAATAGAAATCTTCGTGATAAATTAAGAGTCGCTCAGGTAGTCAGAATATTCCTCGCATTCACCAGAGATTAATTACAGAGTTCACAGCCACTTATACATATCCAGAGGCAAATTAATCCACGCAACAAACTCACATCATATTTTAAGTTAAATTTTAATATTATCATTCCATTCTTTCTAGGTCTTTCAAGTGACTTCATCTTTAATTTTCCGACTAAAATTTTCTCATTGCATATATGCTGTATGTTCTGTTCATCTCATGATCATTGATCGTCCTAACAATATTTGATGCAGAATATATTTATTCAATTCCAACTTATGTAATTTTCTCCAGTTCTTTGTATAAATATTTTATATTTCCACAATGTAGCAATTTCTTTCAACCGAGTTTGGTATATGTTCCAGCGCTGCCCTCTTTCGAAGTGTTTCCAGATCACTCGTATTCCACCACTCAAACAGCCACAACTACTAGCCATACAATTCATACGTGAGTACTCTAAAGGACGAACTTCCCACAAATACTCGTATGTGTTAGTATTATTCTGTTCATCAGAAGNGAATTCCAACTTATGTAATTTTCTCCAGTTCTTTGTATAAATATTTCTATTTCCATTATGTAGCAATTTCTTTCAACCGAGTTTGGTGTATGTTCCAGCGCTGCCCTCTTTCGAAGTGTTTGCAGATCACTCGTATCCCACCACTCAAAACAGCCACAACTGCTAGCCATACAATTCATACGTGAGTACTCTAAAGGACGAACTTCCCACAAATACTCGTATGTGTTAGTATTATTCTGTTCATCAGAAGCAGGGCATGTTGTATAAAACGAAAAAGACTATTACGCCATGATCAACAAAAAGTAAAATCCTTTACGAATAGGAAATATGAACAACAGACTGACGTAGAAAGTTAAACGGTCTGCGAGACGAGTCCTGATGCTTTCATTTAAAAATATCGTACAAGATCCAAGACCCCTTCGCAATTTCATACCGTAGTTACCCTACAGTGGACACTGTAACGCAGGCATGTTGCAAGCTCTGTATATAAGCTTACATGTCTGTTATATATGCCGTGGGATGCAAGTTGTAATGTAATGATATTTTTCTCTCTCTTCTAGTCTTCCATTCTCCTTTATTATCTTCCCCTCTTTTCTTAGTTCCGTTCTTTCATTTTTGTAGATACAATATAGGTGTTTTCTAAAAACAAGAAAATTATCCCAAGAATAAAATATCTCAATGAGCAGAAATCGCTTTGGAAAACTAATAACTACGCATCAAGTCAAATGACTTTAGATCTTCTTAGGAAATCAAAGGATTTCCTCCATTCATAAGAGCACGCCATTAGACCATATCCCGACGAATCCAGTGCATAAATTCTCACCCCGTTTTCCTAAGATCCATTTCAATAATTTCCTATGTATGTGAGGAATCCTGTAATAGAGAAGACCTACCCATCGAATGAGAGGAAAGCAGTATAATTTCTTCTCGTCAGAGTTGAACTCTTTACGTAGACTGGCTTTCATCTTGCTTTACGGCCTCTAGAGATGAATGCTGAATGCTCTCACGACTGTTCCTCTCCACTACAGTTCACCGCACGTGACTTGGTGATGCAGAGATGTACTGCTTTGTTGCTGGCAGAATGTTGTTAACTTATATGAGTCTGCTTTAGAAAAGTAATGCATTGAGACGGCTCCAGATTAAGTTAATCACAAGGGAATTCATACTGCAAACCACGAAAATATCATAAACGTATCTTAGCTTATATCAGGTGTGTTTCCTGTCTTGTACCTAGTGGGAGTTCCTCAAATGTGACATGCGACTAAAGCACTTTGAACGTTGTAGTTTTGTGGTTTGGTAGCATATACAGTCAGATTAAAATTTCTTCGCCACTTCAACAGCCTCAGACCCGCTATAGAGTTCACTGTAGAAGTGGTAATTAATAATACTCTTCTCTCTTGGGCGTCTTGATCACGAGACTGGTCCTATAGCTCCATGAAACCGTGCAGTAAACCTATCCATGTAGAACCAAATTTTCTTTCGAATTCTGATCATCTCTAGCATCTGAGCAGAAGATTCATTTTTAGATTTGTCAATAGAGTAAGTTCGTATGTCGGGATCAGGAAGGTTTCAACATGGAATTTAAGAATATAAAAGCACTTATGATCCCGTGCTTAATGGATACCGAAAACTTTTCATTGATTTCCTTATAAGGCCAGGAGGAGCAACCGTCATTCTTGTCATAGAACATAACATGACGTCATTGGCATCATATCTTGGGGGTATTTCTAAAAAGCTCCGCTGCATTAGGAACCTCTTGAATGCTGGGACCATTTGTAAAATTAACACACTCCGTGAGACGAATACCGAACCTGTTACGAGATCCCTAGCAGACTAGACAACATATACAGAATGTCTTAGGATGAAAGGTCAGTATTCTAGGTGCTCATATTATGTCCTATTGCCGGTTTCGTGGTCGTTGCCTAGAAATGGGTCTATACCCCACAGTGTTAAATATTGAATTTCGTCTGCGTGACTCTCCGGAAATTGTGTAACCCGGAATGTTAAATTTCGATTGATTTAGGGCTCCAGGTTTTCCCCTGGGAATATACGAGTAGCATGGCTTAGACACATTTGGATTTAGAGCTGAGCAGGAGGATGCACGGTTATTTCGAAGTTACAGCTACATCATTGTTTAGCCGGGAGTCAGTCCCTATTGGCCACGAAATTGAGCGCATGCTGCAAGGGCCCCTGAGCTGTGAGAATTCGTCAGCGACATAGTCTTGTTACCGTCCACCACACAAAACAAGTATATTTACCCATTGCCTTAGAATGGCTGCATTTTGGCTGCCCGAAGGGCCAAGACGTATATGATAATTCCAGTTATTTCAGCGGCAATATAGACTATTAGAGAAATAATTATGTTAAAATTAAATGTATACTTGCAGGTCTGTGGAACGACAGAACTCATATTGCTAAAAAAAAAAAAGTCAAAACCAAGCTCTGCTAAAATTCGTTGTACTAACAACCATAGTTTTATTTGGAGCAGAATGTTACACATCAATGATTCCCACCGCGGCGGCCCGGGTTCGATCCGGGTCGGGTCAAGTGGGATTTGTGGTGGACAAAGTGGCGCTGGGGCAGGTTTTCTCCGAGTACTTCGGTTTCCCCTGCCAATCTTTATTCCACCAGTTGCTCCACAATCACCCTCACCTATCATCTGGGGCTGGTACAATAGGCCAGAAGTGGCCGCAGTACAAGGGACTCAGTCCCATCCACTAGCAATAAAAATAAAAAATACACATCAATGAAAGAACAGAAAAAAATATGGAATATCAGAAATAGTTTTTCTAAGAGCAGTCAAAGGAGACAGAATGACGGAGTCTAAAAATTAACGAGGACATTAAATGAGAAAAGATCAATAAAATAATAGAATCTCAGATGAAATATTTATAACATCAGTAAAGAGTATGTGCTTTGAGGTTCTGAGAGCGCTGTTTATGAGGAGTGCTATTTTCTGGGATATAGTGATGAGTAGTCCGGGGAAGTTCAACCTATACGTACGTTTCGGAGGAACATGTCACTTTCATATTCAGGGCTGAAGATGGAGGCGACGGGTTCCTCTGAACTTATCTTGATTTTCAACAGGGAACACGGCGTTATGTCCCACAGTGATAGAACTCTTCTTTTAGGAACATATCTCAGCAACGAATCGCGACCATTCTTTGTCAAATGTAGAAGATGCTGGATACTTATGACCCGAACGATAGATGATATAAACTCCGTCCCAAATGTAAACAATATATTATATGTCCTTGATCTTGCTCTCCTTTACACCTACACTACATGTTTCGGCCTCAAATGGCCATCATCAGGTGTATACACTCACGTTGCTGTTACACTGCACTTAGTTTAAAATTTAACATAACAGCAACGTGAGTGTATACACCTGATGATGGCCGTTTGAGACCGAAACATATAGTGTAAAGGAGAGCAAGATCAAGGACATATAATATATTGTTTGCACTTGGGACGGAGTTTATATCATTTATCGTATAGAGTGCAACAGGATGCTTAAATATAATATTATGACCAGAAGCTTACATATTTAAAGTTTGTAACTGGAAAGGGACAAGACATTAATCCCCCATGCCGCTGGCGGTAAGTTACATAATTATTTCACAGATAACTTAACAGTCTCACATGTTGGAGAAGCATCACTATNGACATATAATATATTGTTTGCACTTGGGACGGAGTTTATATCATTTATCGTATAGAGTGCAACAGGATGCTTAAATATAATATTATGACCAGAAGCTTAGATATTTAAAGTTTGTAACTGGAAAGGGACAAGACATTAATCCCCCATGCCGCTGGCGGTAAGTTACATAGTTATTTCACAGATAACTTAACAGTCTCACATGTTGGAGAAGCATCACTATTCTGTTTCCAGGAAAGTACACGATTGAACTCCGAAGTATTCACTAATATTACAAATAAATAATAATAATGTCAATTGCGGGGTGGTACTAATGGCGAAATGACGGGCTCTAGCTCGGATGATTGGATTTATTAGCACTTTGTTTACAACATCTCTTAATTATAGTCAATACAGCGATGTCAATGATATACCACTTTACACTTCACCGTTGCACACGCACTAGCATTCTCCATCTTCAGTAGTCGTCTCCTGGCAACGGATATCAACACTGAAACTAGCACCTCAAAACACTATGAAGTCCTCTTGTCATTTCTTATTCAATCGCTCTAGAACGTAACCGCATTCTACTGAACTCAAAAGTGAACTTCCCGTGGCTGTCTCCTACCGAGAACTCACTTGAACGCAACTGCGCTTAAAACTGAAAACTATTATATCTAACCACCGTTATATAGCCTCCGCACCGACCACACACGGAAAACACAGTCCTATTGTTGCAGAAGGAAGACCGCAGAGAAACCGAGTCACGTGATAGTTACTTGGCCAGTCAATTAGCGCGCAGACTGTTGCCTAGCAACGAGCTATAAACAATTCGTCCTATTGTTGAGTGCGCATAAACGAGAAGATGTTTATCGCGCCATTGCCTCCCTATACACGTCACAGTAGCATATCTGTCGGTATAATGACAACCGCTTCCGTTAGTGGAACCAACTTCCAAAACGCTCTCTGGACCTGCAACAAACATACCACAGACGCTTGGCTGTGTCACAGCATGGCATTAAACATGATAAATTATATCGCTGCAGACCTCTAGAAAAGCCACTAATTGTACGATATCATTTGTCATGTAAGATGGTGAACTATCTCAAGTCTCCTCTAATTCCGTGTTGTACCTTCTTAAATTCTCAGTGTCATGTGGATTTTAAGGTGAGGAGAAGACGCTTTAAAAACCATACCACATGCTCTCTTTTCCTGATAGCTAGTAGGTAATTTATTCAAAATTATTTTGTAAATTGGTTCTCATGGTTACGAGACCTGGTCTCCTAGGTT